AGAGTCCGACCCTTGCGTCACCCTCAACGGGACATTTATTCCGAAAGTGATACGCAACGGGTGCTGAGACTCCACATACACAAAGATGGATCAGGAGCGGCCACCATACCGAGACTCCATTGAACTCTCTCGAAGCTCACGCACCTCGTTAACAGGATCGCAAACCAACGCAATAGGCTTAAAGAACACGACACCCTACGAATAATCCAAGCTCTGCTCACCAGCCACATCACATACGGCACGCCATATCTATGTTTAAAAACTGCGGAAATAGAAAAACTTGATATTATGATAAGAAAGGCAATCATAGCCACCCTGGGACTACCACCCATAACTTATACTTCACAACATCTTATGATGGGTGTCCACAACACGTGGCAAGAGCTCGTGGAGGCTCGAGAAGAACACGCCAGCTGGAACGACTCAAGCTCATGCCCGCTGGGATGTCGGTACTCCGGTATCTCAACTACAGCGAATCATAGGATTGCGGATGCAGACCGAAAATGCGCATCCCAGTGAACTTTCAAGCGTCCCCTGTCCTATCGAGCTACCCCACGCAACATGCACGCCCACATTCCACAAAGGTAGACGGAATGTTAGAACAGAAGCTTTTCAACGAAAGTTCAGGCAAGATTCAAACGCCTGCTATACCGACGCGGCCAAGTACCCCCATAGAAAAAATAGGCAGCATATCCACGGAGTAAATTATGAGAATGGGGCGAAACATCCGTCCGTCCATTCGTTCTCTTCCGTCCGTCCATGCGTCGTCTGTCTGGACCGTCCGTGACATCCATTCGCACGCCTTGCGTGCGTCTTTTCGTGCGTCCGCACGTCCATCTGTGCGTCCGTCCCGGCGTTCGTCCATGCATCCGCCGCTGCGTCCGTGCATGCGTCCATCCGTCGGTGCAGCAAATCCGTGGACTCCAATCCATACCATCTATTCAACACTCCAACTACCACCATCTCGCATCTTTTCATCATATATTCCGCATATGCACCGCCATACAGCGGACATTCCAAGGACTAACGAGAGCTGGCACACGCACGCTTTCTTACGGCTTGCGCTTCATGTCTACTTTCCACCTTTAACCACCTCGAGTTCATGGTATATACTAGTTCACTGTATTCATGTCTTTTTTTTTTTTATTTATTGGCGCTAGTATGCCCTACGGCATCAGTTAAATAAAAAGGAAAAGTTTTGTTTCCTGTATGAAGGCCAGGAGTTGTCGATGCAGTGGACCGTGCGTCCAGCGCGTCAAGTCAGGTGGTCGGCCGGGGTGGTGGTGAAGGCCGCGTAGGTGGCGAGTGCGAGCCTGGTGAAGGCCCGGGCAGGTTCCCAATAGGTGATCAAGCGTTGCCTCTGTGGCTGGGGCAACGCAGAATGGGCACGTCGTTGGGGGAGGCTGTGCACCAGATGTCCATGTAGCCCGGATTGCAGGAGTCAAGGCGGCGCCCACACGAATCCTCCTGAGCGCAACCTCCTCTCGGCGAGTTAAGCCGCCGGGAAGGTCAGATCCACGCGGAGGAATGAGAGCACGCGTGGAGCGCCGGAGGGTTTCTTTGTGCACAAGCAAGCTGTCCTTCGGGGACAAACGAAGTAGAGGCAGCGGGTGTTGAACAGTCGCTGGATGGCAAGCGGCATCTGCTTCCACTTGAGCCGGTGCAGACCGGCGGGGTCCACAGAACGCGGACAGGACAGGCACATGAGTGGATCAGTCGGTGTATATCGGAGGCTATATCGATGGAGCTGGTCACTTTTCGCAGCTCTCGAACTGCCTGCGTGGAGTCCGTATATACAAGCAATTTATCGTGTGACAAAGAATCCATTTTGGATATCATAACTGTTAACCCGTCCCGTATAGCAGTGAGCTCCGCTAATACGGATGGGAACGGTGCCTCTGTTACGTAAGAGCAGATATGTTGGATTTCAGGTTGCGCGGGGCATACGAGACTGGTGTGCAGAACGCAATTATCGGTAGCTGCGTCTACGTATACCGCTAGTGAGTTCTCAGTGGTAGTGACGATGCCCTCCTGCGCCGCTTGTCGGGTGGATGTCGCAGGCGGGTCAGTGGTCGGTTGTCACTGGCCTGTGCCTTGAGCCATGGTGGAACTTCTGCCACGGGTGCGTCAGGCTGTGGCAGCGTTGAACCATAGTAGTGAGCTAGAGCTGCCGCCGCAGGAACAGCTTGACTCTTTAGGTAGCGAGCGACTCGACGCTGGTGTACAATTTCGTCGATGGTGTTGAGCTGCGCTTCCGCCTGGAGGGTCGTGATAGGTGTCATACGGGGAAGGCATGTAATCGCCCTCATGGAATCTCGGTTGGCGGTTTCGAGCAAGTCCCAGTCTCTCAAAGTCAGTCGTTGAAACTGAGCTTGATAAACGAGCCGAGGTTGTAGGATTGATCGCACCAAGATACGGGCCATTCGAGAACAGGCACCCCCCGTCTTTTGAGAGATGCGACGAATGAGATGGAGGGTATTAGCACTCTTCCGGCGAGCAGAGCGAACCCACGCATTCGCAGAGCCAGATGCGTCCAATTCGACCCCGAGCACACGTATAGTGGATACAGGGGTGAGGGTATGGCCATTTAGGCTCAAACATATCGGCGTCTGCAGGAGGTGACGGCGACCTCGTCTGTTGGTGATAGACATGAATGCAGTCTTCGTGGCAGATAGTGTCAGTCCTATGCGCGCACACCAGTCCGACGCCTTGTCGAGAGCACTCTGGAGTGCCTCCTGCTGGCGTTGAAGGTCTGGATGTAGTGTCCACACAGTCAAATCATCGGCATACAGGAGGAAGAAGGCATCTGGAATGCGTGCTAGTTGCCACGCGAGGGGCAACAGGGCAATATTGAAGAGTATCGGGGCTAGAACCGAGCCCTGCGGTACACCCCGCTCATTACAAAGTGTCCGGTTCGTTCCTTGCCTACTCTGATGCAGAAGGTACGGTGTGCCAGAAAAGACTCCACAAAGTCGCAGACGCGAGGCGGAAGTTGAAGCCATTGCATTATGTGATTGATCGCAGAGTGGCTGACGTTGTCGTAGGCCTTATGAACGTCCATGGCGAGAAGGGTTCGAATGCTGCTTGATCTTCTTCCCACAAGCACCATGGACGTCAAATGATCTAGGCCATCTTCCGTGCCCAGGTGCGGTCGAAAGCCAATCTGGGCCGGATGGTACCAGGCGTGCTTTTCCAGCCACCAGGAGATGCGCGACGCCAACATGCGTTCAAGAAGCTTGCACAACGTACACGTTAGAGCAATCGGCCGAAGATTAGAGAGGCTGTTCGGGTGCTTTCCCGGCTTAGGTATCGGCACAACTTCGGCATGCTTCCACGATTCAGGCAGCCCTCCGGTCGTCCAGACTGCGTTAAGCGTGTCCAGCAGCCACTGCAGTGCAGGGCCATCCATGTTCTTGAACACTTCATAGGAGATCCCATCTGGTCCTGGTGCCTTGCGTACTTTTGCCTGGTCAATTGCTGCCTGGAGCTCCGCCATCGTGTATGGCGCTTGCATGCCTTCGATGTCCGACGGACTGGGAGTCACGCCAACCTCCGGAGGCAGGTTACACGGACAGTCGAATTGTGGTGGGGCCAGGTTGTAGGCCGGGAAGAAAGCCTTAACTATTTCTGGAGCGAACTGGCTTGGCGTGCATCCAGAAGACAGACACGCACTGGCCGCTGGGTCCGGCGTACGGGCGCCTAGTTCCATACTCCGGAACGTTCGCCATATTGAGGCGGTTGAAGACGATGGACCGAGTGACGCACACCAGTCCATCCACCGTTCGCGGGCGAGACGCTTCTCGCAGCGACGCGCCGCAGCGGTGAGTCTGTTGAGGTTATCACGAAGCTCAGCGGCTGCCGGATCTCGGTTTAAGGCCAGCTCTGCACGACGGCGTGCTGCCCACAGACGCAGAAGATGTAAATTTGGATGTGGTCGGTTCTCCTCTACCCAGCTTGACTGCGTGGCGGCTTGTACAGCTCTGGTTAACACCTGCAATGGATCAGACGATGTATCAGCAATCGAGTCGTTCAGTTCATTGCGGAATAAGTCCCAGTTGGTTGTGTAGCATCGACGTCGGAGGCGGCGCTGGTTATACGCGGCCAACCAATTTTCAACGGATGGTGATCACTCCCCCAGCAGTCTGGTTCTAGGTCCCACGAAACGTCACACATGCCCAACCACCACGAGAGATCGGGCGCATAAGGTGGAGCACAGGGATGATCCCACCGACGTGTAGAAGTAGCCGGGGCATTCAGAAGGACAAAGTGCGCGTCTGTAAATGTGTCTAGCACGATGTTGCCTCTAGCACTGGAAGAAGGGTAGCCCCACGACTGATGAGGTGCATTGAAGTCTCCCCCAACTAGTACTGGGCACCCAGGATAGGTTTGACGCAGGTGAGCCAGCCACCCCAAACGCAGTCGGGGAGCGCTGCCACTATACGGACGCACGTAAACTGAAACCACAATCACGTCAGTACGCGGAAGTCTAACGAGCACTGCCACCACTTCTTGCCACTGGTTACACCACTGCAGCAGGGGAACCTGCGTTTGAGGATATGTAGTCACAACATACACTGCAGCCTTGCCTGGAGGTCCCAACGCATTGGTGCAGCGTCGATCAGGGATGGTTGGGGAATCATACGCAGTGAATCCAGGGATGCGTGGAAGCGAATTCGTTTCTTGTAGAAGCAGGCACCAAGCGGGGAGCTTCCCCAGCGCAAGGCGATAGCGAAGCTCACCAACTTTATTTGCAAGTCCCCGGCAGTTCCACTGCAGGACACAGTGGTGGCGCGTTGCTTTCAAAGGAGTGGTCATTGCGGTGGAAGGTTGGCGAGCACCACCTTTGAAAGCTCTTGCAGTTGCCGGGCAACAAATTGGAGGAGCTCTGCCGGAGTCATCTTGACTGGTGCTGACGCGCTTGCGCAGGATAATTCAGGCACAGAAGCAGCGTACGGCACGTCTGTACCGCGCATCGCAGTTGGTCCAGCGGGTCGAGCGAGATGGGTTCTGCGTTGAGCGAGGCGCTTGACTTCCATTTGGAGCTGCTGTATCTGTTGGTCAAGCTTCGCCAGATCGTCTGTACCCGTAACGCTCAATTTAGGCGTATTCGCAGGCTGCTGAACACGTTTTTTGCCCCGCTTGACGGCGTCGCTGTACGTGGGGACTTCATAGCAAGCATTTTCAGGTTCTACCAACGCTGGTGTGTCCTCTTCGGAGGGGGACAACAGTTCAAACCGGTTGCTAGTCGGAATGTCGGCGTCCCTTTCTTCTTGTGTCACCGAACGCTGGCGGCGTTTTGCGTTGGCGACGGGCTTTGAGAGCCTTCTGTTTAACTGGACAATCTTTGGACGTTATTTCATGATCGTCCGTTTGGCAGAGCCCACATTTGTACGTGCGCGTCTCGACGGACTCCATGGAGGTGTCTGCGGGTTGGGGACAAGAATCTCGCATGTGACCGGTACGAAAACACCGATAGCAGTGTACCACACCGGGCTTGTACACATGAAATTTCAGGATGCATCCATAGTACGTAATGCGGCTTGGTGGCGTTCGAGGCCCTTGGAGAGTGACAAGGCACGTGCGTCCACGGCCCATATAACGAGCTGTTACAATCTTGTGTGTGGAGCAGGTCAAAGCAGTGATAAGGCCCTCCGGCGATTCCCCTGGGTCAACCCCAGAGACCACATACCGACGCAAGTCCGAGCCGGAACTCAAGTACGCTTGCACCTGTACAGTACAATCAGCTGTGACTGGCAGAGTTTGCAGGTGGGTGAGGCGGTCAACGTCTGCTAGCGAACGCACCCATACGGATACGCTGTTGGTGGGATGGTGAATGGAGAAACCTTGAAACGCGGTGGTTTTGAGGCAGGTGTCGAAGGCTGACTGAAGGAGGCGATTTGACAATTTTGATACATCGAAGCACTCACGAGGTTTTACGACGACTTTGTACTTAGACTCGGTGCCAGGCGAGGCGACAGCTGCCGGAGAGGGGCACTCCCGCTTGCTTGCCGGTGTGGCTGAAGCAGACAAATCATCTATTCCCATTTGTGAGTCAGCCACGCGTTTCGCACTGCGTTTCGGAGCGGATGATGGTTGTGATGGCTGCGTCTTAAGCTCCGCTGCAGCCATCGTTAATGGTTCACATGAAGAACACGGGAGCGTTGCCGCTGCCAGATGCAACCGGCGAGACGCCGGAACTGTCCTGGCGAGCGTCCCACGCACAATGTTGAAGTGAACGGCACCAAGGGTGGTTAGTCCAGGTCGTCGATGGTGTCCGGAAGAAGAGTGCTTGGGGGCGACCCCACGGCCTCGTCCAGGGCGTCCGGCAGGTCTGTCCTTAGCCGGTGGGGCCAGAGAGCTGGGCGGCGTTCCTGTATTCATGTCACTGTGGCCCAACACTCGCTAAACCTTTATGAAACCCAGGATGTTATGCCCAGCGAGTATAACGTAGCATCCCTTTCTTGTCAGATAGTGCTCAATGTACATGCTGATGGCTGCAAAAGGGCAATGAGAGACAGGAGAATTCGGCTTTTAGTTAACACGCGCGCTGCGAATTTTTTATTGTTCAACAACGCACAGAAGAAATCTCCCACCGGCACCAACTTGGAGGTCAAAATGTAAGATTGGTTACACGCTACGACCATGACTACGAGGGACGAACAGGTGGCGCTATAAAGAGCTTCGCCTCTAAAACGCGAATGCCGTCAGCGTCGTCGGCTCTCAGGGCACGGAACTCAGACGCAGCGGAAGAAGCGGCAATCGCCCTCGCCACCACCACATGTAAGGACACCGCGGTGATTCTCACTGACTCGCAAGCCGCTCGCCGGAATTATGTGAAGGGCCGCGTCTCAGTCGACGCAATCATCCTGCAGCGGCGAAGCTCTTCACTTCCATATGCCTGCGTAATCTAGGTTTTTGGACACAAGGGTCTACAGGCAAATGAAGCGGATCACGCCGCTGCCCGCCAGCACGTCAGCCGGGCCGCCCTGGGACGAAAGGATACCCGATCTGTCTGGTAGGTGTTCTGTGGATCCGTGGCTGCAGAGATGGCGGTAGTAGAAAACACCTACTCATCGCTACTTCAACACTACAAACTGGAGTGACGGGTGTACCCTCCACCCCATCCAAGACTAACCAAAGAAGAGAGCGTGACTTTCAGATGCCTACAAAGCAATACTTACATAAATGGCATATTATGCACTGCCTCTACCTAACAACACATGGCTACATGTGCCTGCTCTGCAGCGTACCAGACACCCTGGCACACTTGCTCCTAGAATGCCAGTGCCATGCTAACCACGACGTGCAACTGGAGTGGGACCAAGCCACAAACAAAGACTACATAATGGAAAGGTGGGAGGCGAAGCTCGTCCTCGAGGACCTGGAAGACCAGCGACAACTCGTCGCCAGGGCCAAGGGGGCAGTCGAAGCCAGAGGGTTCCTGGACTAGGGAACCCTCCCACCTTAGGGTGACACCGGACCTCGCTAGGAACACTGTTTTCTAAATAAACGTTTATTTCGCTCTCTAGGAATTGAAGAAAGCAAGTTTGACTTGTTCATCCAGAAAAACTAAATTTGGAGGTTTCATGAATTTTCAAATACCGTACGTGCAAAAAACATTGAAGTAAAGATGCAGCGTTCCAGCGGCCTAACTTGTTGCAGTTTTATTCATCGGAGGACAATACTTCTTCACATGCTATAAAATTAGTAAAATACGCAAGCTCCGGTGTCCTGTCGTCTGTAGCCACTAATTATAGCTTTATTTGTTAAGCATCCAGTGTACTGCAGAAAAGAGCCTTGTATAAAAAAATTTCCTAACTTTGATATAGAAAATTGTAGGTTACATTATTGGGTGCAACTTTCCATGAAGTCTCCTACCGGTCAAAGTATGCTGCCTTTCCAGACCAAATATAAACCATGCGTCCGAGCCCAATATATGAACAATTTTAACAAACAAAAAACAAATATGCTGAGATTCCCACATAAATAGCCTACGAAAGCTAGCGCTTCGTTTTGAATAACATGTTTTTGGCACCAGCAGCATAAATCTCACTAAGCAGTATCCTTCTCGACAAACGCATGGCAGGTGGCTTTGGGAGAAATCTCCTGCGGGAGAAATGTTCATCAAGCCACAAAGGCGATCCAGCTGATATACTGTATGCACTCATTAGTGTGCTTTCAAAGGACAGTAGGCGTTAACCTAAACGCGTATATTGTAGTATTGAGCACTGACTTACGCCATCAATTTAGATCCACCGAGGTACGCAGCATCAACAGCAGGGCTAATGGGGCTGCCTAATAAAATAATTGTTTAGGATTTAGGTGCCGAAACCACGATATAATCATAAGGGAAGCCGTGTATATACAGTGGACGTTTCCAAAAATTTCTACCATCTGGGATTCTTTAACGTGCGCCTTATTCTAAGAACACGTACCTACAGTATTTGCCCCCTATTGAAGTGTGGTCACCTTGGCAGGTATTTGATCAAGCAGCCTAGCACCACAGTTATTGGATCGTGGTAGATCGCTCATCAGGTCAGCACATGAGAACTACAACATGGTTTCCTCTCGTGCCGTGGTACAACGGTACTACTGATTCCGCAACATTAAGAAATTACCAGCTTACATGATTAAAAACCGCCATGCATTATTTTTGTCTATGTATTTTTCAGATGAACCATATTGAGGACACCGTGTACCGGGAACTCCTGGACAATCGCCAAGGCGAGGTCAAGCAGAGTGCCATGTTACCTATGGAGAGTATCGACAACTACACGAGAGGTGCCTTTTCGTCGAGCGAGTGGCTGGAGAGTCTCAACAAACAGGCATCGGCCACTGGTTGGCCGACGTTCTTGGCACGGGACCCCGTTGTTCTCAGAGACACAGGGTTGCTCACAGGACTTCGCCGGATATGGGCGAGGCACAGCGAAGCGAAACTGCTGGAGGCACTCGCGTGGCTCCTCGCGCAAATACTGGGACCCATTGCGGACGCGAGACTGCTGAGGTTCAGGTGAAATATTTGACGCTTTTACTGCAGTGGGAGCGAATGCACGGCCTTGTCCTTCTCGATTCTGCGAGTGTTGTGGTAAAGAATGTGGTGAAATTTCCAAAAAACAAAACGAATGCTGGATGATACCCGCCTGTATACGGCAGCAAGTTATGCTCCTTCGCACAGTAGCGCAATACTTAAGCAAGCAATAAATATTGAAGCAGGCATTGTTAGGAGACACTCGATAAGGATATTGAGGGAAAATATTTAGTTTATATTATGCGTTGCAGTATGAAATCTTCAGCAGAACCTATTCACAAAGATTGTCAAAGCAGATAAAAATCATTCCTCATGGGATACGTGTACACTATTGAGCTTCCAACAAGGTCAGTGTAACGGAGCATGAGAAGCCGTCACCTCACATTTATTGTTCGCTACAAGACTCTGTGTGCGTATGTAAATATATTTTATTTCTTCACGCGTGAGCCACACTTGAACCGCACGCGTGAAGAGATAGGAATCGCCCTTACAACTTGACGCTGTGGAGTGCGACTCTTGTATATCTACGTTACATGTACAAGAGAAAGTAAAAAAAAATCTTCAAATAAAAAGCACTTCTACAGCCAATGTTTGAGCAAGAGCACTTCCTTCGAAAAAATCCCGAGAGGAGATTTCTCCAGTGAAAGCGTTAACTTCAGCGGCGTTCACCTTTTGATCGCCCTTGGGTGTGCCGCAAGAACCTTCATCAACGAAGAAGGTTGCGTCTAATCCTAAAGCTCTTCGCTTTTCCCGCGTGGTAATAGCCTTACCTTCCCTGTTTTCTTCCTTTTTTAGATATGCCAACCTCGCCACAACCAACATCAGGCGCGTTCACTTCTGTGTCAGCGAGGTGGAAGAGATATACCGGTTCTTGGTGATCGTCCTGGCGACAGTCGTCAACTTTCGCGAAAGCCTGCGCCTAAACATAAGCTCCCAGCTCGCCATTGTCCAGCAGGCGGCAGGAGCGCTGGTCGGAGCCCTGCCGTGGCTCGACAACGCCACCAAGGTCGCCTCTGGCAAGAAGATCGCACGGGCCAAGACGCTGTTGTGGCCACCCAACGATTTCCTCACAGACGACGTGCTGTCCGTGATGTACTCCGGCTTTCCCCAGGACGTGCTGTCCGCAGACGAGACTTTCGCCGATCTGTGGCTCCAGTCCAGACAGGCACTTTCCGACCTGGTGACGGACCGGTCTTACGAAGCCACGGCGATCGACATGCTGGCAAACACGCGCCTGCCCTTGGCCCAGTACGACTACGTGCGCAACACTGTCCGAATCTCGGTCCAGGCACTGTCCGCACCGCTGTACTATCCGCAGGGCACCAACGCCATGTTCTACGGTGGCCTGGGCTTCGTATACGCTCGTGAACTCGTCAAGAGCTTTGACGGGGAGGGCGTCACGTTCGACGTGGACGGCAACGTGGGTCTCGACTGGTCTTCGGATGTCTGGAAGATCACCATGGCCGAACGGACGTTCTGTCTTGCGGCCCAGAGTGGCAGCGCCGAAAAACGCGCCCCCAAGGCCGAACGTGAGTGTGCACCGACCTGCGTTTCTTCCTCGGCAGGTCATTTAAAAATGATTTTGTGTGTATATAATTAAAAAATATACACATGTGCCTCACACCGACACAGTACTAATAGGCATTTGGGGCGGTGAACAAACTATTAAGCATTCTTACAACTCAAATTACTTGCCATTATTTAAATTACGTACCATGTGATGATGTTGACATGCTTAGCTCTTCTTGCCACTGAAACTTATTTGTTACGTGATGCTGAGGCTTTGAAATTCTTGCCACACGCACGCAATGCTGTGGTACCTTTTGCTGCTGTGTTAGTGCATGTACGAATGCCCCGCTTGATATGGCAAGGGACACCACCGAGTATTTACATACAATGCATGCTCTAAAATCATAACGAGAAGGCTCCTCTACATTTACATTTAGCTCAATCACTATACAACCAACTACAAGCAACCGAAATGCAACGGCGTCGAAGTGGCTAGATAGTGACAACGTTATACCGAACATTCAGGCGCCTTTCTTGAGCTGGCGGCCAGCGACTCCACGCTAAGTCCCCGCTCATATACCCACGAGCTTATTAGTTGTGACCCATGTCCTTCTCGCACCGGTATGAGCTGATGACCATTTAGAGTTTTCACGGTAAGAATAACAGTGTGAATAAGTCAGTTCTGCATGTGCGGCGTGTTTCCCTTTCTCACCAGTAGTATTGCATAACCTCATGCCTGGTCACATATCAGGTTATTGTGCCAGACACTAGACGCTGCACTGCATTCACATTGTGGATAGCCGTCTCAACAAAACGGTCCACTGTTTTCGTTTCACAAATTCGCGCGGTACTTGTTTGCAGACAATCGCCTCTTCCCCGACATTCCGGCGCTGGAGGTGGCATACGCGGCGTTGCAGTGGGCGCTCGCTTTGGATCCACATCCGACGAGAGTGCTCGAGCAGTACACCGAGCAGCAGCTGTTCTTCATCACACTTTGCTACCTCATGTGTGGCGCAGCTCATCCGGGCGCCAGGAACTGCAACAAGGCTCTGCGCCACTTTCCGCCCTTCGCCCAGCACTTCAACTGCAAACAGGGCAGCGGGATGAAAGCAGCCAAGCCGTGCTCGTTGCTCTATATCCCAAATCACAAGAGTGACAGCGACTAGGGGAACGAACTATCGCCTGTGTGTAGTTTGCGTAGAATAAGTTACTTAGTGCATATTTTACGATTTTTCCGAATGCCCTATAGTATATCACAAGTGAAACGCAATATCGTCATAGCACACAGACGAACAACATTCGCGTAAGCTTGTCGCTCTTATTTTTCTTTTCTTCGAGTAGCACAGCCTCGTGTGAGACAGCAACTTCCTTGCTTAACGTTTCTTTGAAATATCGTGAATGCGGGTTTAATGTATCAGCAAGATCGCACTAAACTGCGTCAATCTTATAAAATACTAGAGTCACTGTATTTTTCATTGCTTTGTTCAGTTGGGTAACCCGGCAACGTTACGCGGAAAATGCTCCCGAGCATTTTTACAGAAGTGTTACCTGCTTGCATCATTTCTGCCATAAATGCCAACATCGCATGCTGCACTCGAATTGTTGCTCACTAAGCAGTTTTAGGCAGTCGGCGCGACTCCAATAAGCGACATCGCAGATGACACGTAGTACAGGGACAGTCGCAACTGTCGCGCTCATAAACAGTTTCCACCGTGGCAGTTCGTGGTTATAGCCGACTACAATGGGATTTTCCTTCTTTAGTTGTGGAATAAAAAAAGTGTGGACTTCGTACCATGAGCCTTGAAACTACGTCTGGGGAAAACCTTCTTTCATAATATAAAAATGGCAGCATATCTACGGGGTGAATGATGGAGAGTGGGGCGAAGCATCCGTCCGTCCATTCGTCCGTCTATGTGACCGTCCATGCGTCCCATCCGTGCGTACGTCTGTTCGTGCGTCCGCACGTCCATCCATGCGTCAATCCCTGCGTTCGTCCATGCACCCGCCCCTGCGTTTGTTCATGCGTCCATCCGTCCGTGCATTGATATGTGGGGTTTAACGTCCCAAAACCACTATATGATTATGAGAGACGCCGTAGTGAAGGGCTCCGGAAATTTAGACCACCTGGGGTTCTTTAACGTGCACCCAAATCTGAGCACACGGGCCTACAACATTTCCGCCTCCATCGGAAATGCAGCCGCCGCAGCCGGGATTCGAACCTTCGCCCTGCGGGTCAGCAGCCGAGTACCTTAGCCGCTAGACCACCGCGGCGGGGCCATTCGTCCGTGCAGCCGTCCATGCGTCCGTCCATGCATCTGTCTGTGTGTCCGTTCATCCATATAGTCAGCACTCCAAGTACCACCATCTCGCATCTTTTCATGAGATATTCCGCACATAGAAGCACCGCCATCCAGCGGACATTCCAAGGACTAAACGAAAAGTGGCACACGCACACTTACGGCTTGCGCTTCGTGTCTACTTCCTACCTTTAACCACCTCGAGTTGATAGTATATACTAGTTCACTGTATTCATGGCACTGTGGCGCAACGCTAACTAAACCTTTCTAAAACCAAGGAGGTTACGCCCAGCGAGTATAACGTAGCAACCCTTTCTTGTCAGACAGTGCTCAATGTACATGCCAATGGCTGCTAACGGGGAATGAGAGACAGGACAGTTCGGTTTTTAGTTAACGCGCACGCTGCGAATTTTTTATTCTTCAACAACGCACAGGAGAAATCTCCCACCGGCACCACCTTGTAGGTAAAGCGTAAAACATGTTACGTACTACGATGAGGGACGAATGGGGTCCATTTATTAAGCTTTGCCCCTGAAAACTGCTTGAGCTTGCAGCAACACTTCAATCACCCAAGGGTTCCAAACGAGCTTCTTATTTAGCTTGCGTGTTTCCACGGTAAAAGCTTACAGCCTATACACTTTAACTAGAAAAATTGGCCCCATATCTGCAAGGTAATCTGCAAATGTTGTCGAAAGAAAATAGTCTCGCGTTTGGAGAGAGTGAACAAAACATTTATTTTATCTGCTGCGCAAGAAAATCGGTTAATGGTATTCTGCAGGCGCTGCGTTAGAGTGCCCCAAGTGTTCTGCGGAGGCGAACGAGTGCATCAAGTCACGCCACGCGTGAGACATGAGCGCCATCTGGCAGTTTTCTTTGAAAACGAAGCACGGGGCTCTGAGACGGCTGTGCGCGCCCGTTTCAGAGGTGATAAAGTGTAGAATGCAAGGTGACGGGTAGGTGCCACCACCGTCTCGTCTTAGCAAAGCATTGGAACACTCGCCTTTTCGTGCAAGCATTGCATGGTCAGCGCAGCGTGAATAGCGGTACGGTCCTTAAAATTATGTATGTTTTGTTCTAGTAAAAGACGCAAAGCAGAATATATACGTGTTTTATAGTGCCCCAGACATGCGCAATAATTGCTTTTGAATTTACAATTGCACAAGTATGATCGCTGAACCTTGAGCAACACTGGTGGGCGCTGCGGGTGGTGTGGGTCGTTTCAAGTACCCGGTGCCGTTAGGAGTGGACAAACAGTCAAATGTACAGACAGAGCAACTGACAGACAGACAGACAGACCCAAATTTTTGCGTCGAAGGTCCCCAAGAAAGACTAACGTCTTTAATATTACATTTAGAAGCACCGATTTTATCATGTTCTGTCGTATATTCAAGGAGCGCCTGGCTTCTCTAACGCCGATACTTCGACTGTCTAGCAGCCAATGTCCAAGTATCATATTTCTGGAGCAATGCCAAAAAAGAAAGGAAATAAGTCGGGACGGCGCGATATGAAGACAAAAACAGCTTCCAGTATTTTTTTCTCAACTGTTGATCTAGATTTCTCAACAGCTCATCTAGCTTTCTCAACTGCTCATCTAGATTTCTCAACTGTGTGATTGCCACCAGCCAGTGATGTTCCCGCAATAATTACTGATAATCTTTCAGTAAAACTTTATACATAAGGACTCACCCATTTCCAGTGCGCTGTAATAGTGTCAAGTTGAATCACGGCATGGTGAGCACGCGGTCGAGAAGTGGTGTTTTCTTTTTACTTTGCAATCAACCTTGTGATAAGCATCTACAATACCCAGCGTGTTCTCGGTGACGTTTTCCGATAGCTTTGCTCGAAACTTGGTGCAGACCACTTCATAGCGAAGATGAACCTTTAGCGTCGAACTGAAGCTGCACGGCGCGGACTGCACAGACCTTAATGTTTTTCCCCTTGCCACTCAGCACTATAACAAAAAAAAAAGTTGCCGACGGCGCAGACATGACCGCCACTTGCGACGCCTGTTCACATGTGGAATGGGCAAGTGACCGCAAGAAACGCCCCGCATGACGACCCACCGCCGTATAATGTGAACGAAAGGGAAAGCTTAGCATGTACTTACATATGTGTTGTTTACACGCATGTGTCAGTTGTCTCTTGTCACTATAGGGGGCTGGAAATCTACGCCGTACCACGTCGTGGTGTTCCTATTTTGCCCATGTAACCACTGCTGCAGAACCGGAATAGACTGCGGCGTGCCGCTCTACCAATGGCGTCATACGTGAAGCTTATGTCACGTGACTCTCTCAGGTGGGACCATGGTCGTACGTCCTGTGGTAAAATAATAATAGGGAGATTCAGAGTACCGTTTGCAAGCGCTGCGGGCGTTGCGGGCGTAGCGGGCACCATATGAGTTTTAGAAAAGCGTTTGCCTTGCTGCTAACCGCAACGCATGATCGCAGCGACACCGTAGCCTCGAAACCAGCGTTTGCGGGCCACATGCGGGCCGCGATGGCCGCACGAAATTTCGGATTTTCTTCGTGCGGGCCGTGAACTCGAACGCATGCTCGCGTTATGACGCATGCGCAGTGGCATCGACCGCAGCACAAGGGCTCGCGGTGTGCTATTCTAGAACTCCCTAATACGTGGCTTTTTGAGGCGAAGCTCCTTATAGCGGCAACCGTTCGTCCCTCGTAGCCGTTGTGTGTAACAAGTATATTATTTTGACCTCCAAGGTTGCGCCGGTGAGAGATTTCTTCTGTGCGTTGTTGAACAATCAAAGATAGTGCTGAATGTACATGCCAAGGGCTGCCAAGAGAGAATGAGAGACAGGAGCATTCGTCTTTTAGTTAACGCGCACGCTGCGATCCTTATTAGCAGCCATTGGCATTTACATTCAGCACTATCTGACAAGAAAGGACTGCTATGTTATACTCGCTGTGTGTAACCTCCTTGGCTTTAGAAAGGTGGTTACACCATGAACACCATACCATGAACTCTAGGTGGTTAAAGGTGGGAAGCAGACCCGAAGCGCAAGCCCTAAGAAAGTGTGCGTGTACCACCTCTCGTTTAGTCCTTGGAATGTAAGCTGGATGGCGGTGCTTCTATATGGGAAATATATGATGAAAAGATTCGAGATGGTGGTACTTGGAGTTTTGAATAGATGGACGAACTTACACAAAGACAGATGCATGAATGGACGCATGAACCAACGCAGGGGCGGATGCATGGACGAACGCAGGAACGGACGCACGAACAGACGCACGCACGGACGGACGCATGGACGGATGCATGGACGGTCACACAGACAGACGCATGGACGTACGGAAGAAAGAACGAATGGACGGACAAATGCTTCGCCCCACTCTGCATCATTCACTTCGTGGATATGCTGGATTTTTTTTTACGTCACAAAAACCACGATACGATTGTGAGAGATGCCGTAGTGGAGGGCGCCGGAAATTTGAACCATCTGGTATCCTTTAACTTGCACCGACATCACACAGTACACGGGCCTTCACCGTCTCGCCTACCCCGAAAGGAGACTTCCGAAGCCGGGATCGTAACCTAGACGTCTGGGTCAGCAGTCGGACACCTTGACCACTGAACCACCGTCGTGGAAGCAAGTTTATAATATGGAAACACCCCTTCGTGACGCCGCGCATACAGCTATGCGCCCGCCGAACGAAAATTGCGTGGGGCAGAAATAGGGCACAGTGTTGAACTATTCCGAAGCATCACGCTGCTGACGTTGATATCCTGAAAACAGACTTGTAGAAGTCCATGTAATAGTATTGTAAGGACAGGGTTTATTGCATATTTCATATGGGTACCAGGTATACTTGTTTTGTGCTTTTATTACGAGTACCCATATTACACACAAG